GAACGTCCAGCGGGCTTTGAGGGCAGTGCTCCTTTTCCACTGAAATAACTCTTTCAGATGGACTCCAGGTTAAAAAGTAACAGCTTTCTCCTAGCTGACCTTCAATCTCTCTTTTCTATTTGGTGTGTGTATGTATCTGTGTATCTGTGTGTCTATCTATGTATCTATGTATCTGTATATATCTCTATCTTCCCATCCATCCTTCCATCATCTAATTTTTCTAGGCTTTATCTTTCCTTTTGGAGAAATGTCAGGGCCTGTATGAAGATGCTGGCCATTACTCCTCATGCCTATTGATTCAGGACTCCTGTACACTTCACCCGGTGAAGTTGCTAAAGGTATAGGGTTGGAATGGGTGATGTTCCAGGATAAAAGGATTATCTCTTTGCAATGGGTCAATTAAGTGTCATCTTATAGGACCTGAAATCTGGACTATTTTATAAAATGGGCCCCAAACTATGCTTTTGGAGAAAAAATTGTCTTCTTTTCACATTGTATTGTCCAAACGGAGACATAGCAAATAGTTATTTAGATACAAGTTATTGTCACGATCAGAAACGAGGTACTACGAGTGCTGGAGCACATACGACCATTGTGCTGACCGCGCAAGAGGAAAAGGATTGCTTTCTCCATTTTACTATCTGTGAATGTCATGGTGGAAGGTTGGAGCTCAGACATCTTTTTTGGAGGCAGAATTTTAGATTTTTAAAAAGTTTGCAAGTCCACTGTAGACTCCTGCCTTTTGTATTTTTGAGCAGGTGTTCCCACGGCATCAGGCTTCCGTGCCATTCCTCTTGCACCACTTTGCTCTCAGGTGTCAGAAAGTGAGATCAGGAGCTGCCTCATGCAGCTGAGTCCAGCCAGCCTTCCCCACGTCCTTCTGACCTTACATTCCCCTTTAATTGATCTTTTGGAGTTTGGATGAAGTTATAGGAGCAAAAAGACATGTTCTTACTGATTATGAGGAAGAGGGTAGAACCTGTGAAGAAACTGCTTATGATGGGGGCCAGAGCCTTCCCATCCATGCATCCATCCATCTGTCCATGAATCCATCCATCTATGCACCCATCCATCTGTCCTTGCACCCATCCATCTGTCTGTGCATCCATCCTTCTGTCCATGCATCCATTCATCTATGCATCCTTTCTTCTGTCCATCCACCCATCTGTCTGTCTGTGCATCCATCCATCTGTCCATCCATCCATCTATGCACCCATCCATCTGTCCATGCGTTCATCTGTCTGTGCACCCATCCATCTGTCCATGCCTCCATCCTTGTATCCATCCTTCCATCTGTCCATCATTCATCTGCATCTAACACAGAGAGAACACAAATTCCTTGATTTTGGAGATATTTAAAATAATTTTATTCATTTTGGGTGGACAGGATTTATATGCAAGAAAAGCTAAAGACTAGTGTACTGCATCAAATTTTTTAAACCTCACATGAAGCCTCATACCTGAGATAAACCCATAGCTGTCTGGATAGTGATCTGGAGTGCCATGTCCTCTGCAAATACCTTCCTTCCAATGACTGGCACCTTTACAGGATGCCTAGGCTGCCCAGAGCACAGTTTGCAGACTGCTGTGCTTTGCTGTGAAACAAGGTATTGTTGATGTGGTACAGGTGGTGGGTGGTGGGGGAATTAAGGGAAGGGGGAGCTCCCTGGGAGCTGGGGACTTTAGAAGATGGGTGTTGAAAGGGGGTGTGTGTCTTGAAAGGAGAGTCATGTTTGGACCCATGAAGAGGATGGGGGACACACTACATGGCAGGGAAGAGGCCAGGAATAGGATGAGCAAAGGCCCTAGAAGTGGAGGTGGGTGCAGGCAGGCAGGGTGTCAGTCAGGGTCCAACAAGAAAAAGATGACACTCAAGCTGGGTAATGGAGGCGTGCGCAATACACAGGTAATTGACAAAGCTGCTGGCGGGTTAGGGAGCTCTGGACTGTGGGTGTGGCGCTGAGCCCTCTTGGACCCTGCAAGTGCAAGTGATAGCTTCCAGCCGGCAGAAAGACAGTTGGTGGGTGACTCCCGAGATGCTTAGGCAAATATTGTTGGGCACCAGGGAAAGAAGCCTCCATCTTACTTAGGCTGCTATTTGTGTGTTTATTACAGCAGCCAAATCTGTAATTAATACAAATTGATAGGAATTTCTACTCTGTTACCTAATGGAAGGGATGGCACAGAAAAAGGTACAAATTAATTTTATTCATTATTTACTGGTGTGAGAGAAGAGATATTACAATTTTAGTTTTTCACCATGTCACTCCTGTCCTTTGGAAGGATGCATTATCAGTGAGATAACTGTCAATGCAAAGTCTCTCTAATGATATCAGGACACAGGAGGCCAGTGCTGAACCAGTTCTGGACCATGCTCGTTCTGTATGTGAGTAAGGAAAAGGAGGGACATGAGGGGAGAGAGCTATTTGCTGCTTGTTTGAATGTGTCTCACCACTAGGCAGTAGAGCGAGGACTCAAATCTCAGCCTATTTGGCTCCAAAGCCTATCCTTTCATTTAACTCTAATTATATCAGAGAACTCTCTGAGAGGTCCAGCTATTTTAGAATCTAGGGTGATTTTTCCAAACTAGACCTCTTTGGACATCCATGGCATGGGCACCAAATTGACTTTCGCTTCTTTGCTCATTAATAATAAAGCGGTTGGCCTAGTACTTTTATCTAAAGTGTGCAGATGGGGATTCCTACATTATCTCCCTGGTTCTGTAAGAAAGAGAGAGGTAATCTTAGTGGCTTGGCTGATTTCTTGTGGCAAAGAACAAAATACAATGCAAAAGGCCCAGACTCTCAGGAAGGGCACTGTTGAGCTATAGGAGATAGCATGGTGGGGTGGAAGCTAGGGGGTCACGGGCTCAAATCCCAGTTCTTGGACATAATTTAACCTGTTAATCTTCAGTTTCCTTCCATGGGGCTGGAGATGGTATATGTCAAACTCCTCAACCGTAGTAGGTGCTTTTATAGCTACTTAGAGCCAGCACTTTGTGCCTGTTTATGTCAGGCCTGACCTAACTCCTTGGCTCCATGGCACAGAAATTGATTTTAAGAATCTTCTAAATCTCTGCAGCTTCCAGGCACAACTGAATGGGTCATGGCAATGAGTAATGGTTACAGAATACTGCAAATTCCAGCACCAAGGTTAGAAGACTGGCCAAAGGACAATTCTCCATCCCAGGCCAAGGGGACTAAATCAAGGCTCTTTGGTTAAGCCCGTTTAATGACCCATCTGGATGAGGCTGTTGGAAGAACTTTCCACACTAGCAGCTGACTCCTGCCCAAGCAGCATGAGGGATCCCTACTTTGCAAACTCAGGGCTAACAAGTCCTTGGAGGGAAGCTGGGAGGCCCGGACACCATCCTGGCTCTGGCTGGCAGGGGTGGACCGAGGCAGTTCATTCGAGACTTATTCACCAAAAAATTTGAAAACCAGGAGCCCTGCCACTGGAGAATTAAAATTGGTCATCTTAAGCCTGCTTTTCTCTAAACTTCTGTGTAACTGGCGTAGCCTGGGTATGCTATGCACTTACTTCAACAATGATATGTAGGAGAAGAAAAAGGATGAATGGCAGAGCAAAATCTTTCAATATCTGCTTTGTGATTTATAAAATAAGTGAGATGCCATGCTAGTAAGGGACTCCTCCCAGGAAAACAGAATTATTGTACAGAGCAACACCTCAAAAGGACGGAAAAGTTCACCTACGCATCTAAAACTGTTGAGTGTAGCGGTAAGAAAAGAGATGCTCCATCACACTGCCCTTTATAAAAGGTTTCTAAAGCTTTTCCCTGACAAGGGCCCTACTTTGGTAAATAGAATGAATGTGTTTTACCATTTGATCCTTTTCACCCAGTCTTCTATTCATTTTCATGGAATAATATGTATATTATACACATATCCAATGTATGGATGTATAATAACCAACTATTAGCAACATGAATTCCTTTATTTCTTTTGCTTGGCTTCTCTCATGCTTCCGTTCCTTTAAGATGTCCTCACCGGTCAGCCATATTCCCCTTTCTCTCTCAATTTTTAGTCCTCTAAACAGATGTGTAGATCACCTAAGGCAGTGAAGAGTTTTCTCCCACAGCACCGAGAGCACTTGTGCCAGCGTCTGGCCTGGAAGCATGAAGTTTACCCAGGGGTGCATTTGTCAAGGAAGCTTTCAGACAAGTAATGCTTGAGCTGAATCTTCAAGGAGGTACTTTCCAGGCAGGAAGGATGGGGAGGAAGTCCAGGTAGAGCCCTGGGGGAACAAAGAGCATGGCGGAACGTGCAGGTGGCTTGTCAGTCTGTCCTGGGCCTGGCTGAGGGAGTGTGGGATTGGAACCTGGTCACTAAGGTTCTTTAGGCAACTGGGATCCTTTGGAAGATTTTAAATTTGGGGTAAGGGGTAGGATGGACTCAGATTTGGGGACATAAGAAGGAGGAACCTGATCAAATTTGCATTTTTGAAAGTGTGACAGCAATGTGGGTAATGGGCAAGTCTCCATATGAGCCTCAGTTTCCTCATTTCTAAAGTAGGGACAATAGGTTTTGCATGAGGAGCAGAAGAGATAATGTACATGAAAATGCTAAATATATTTAAACTATTATTATTGTGTGACTTGTTTGAGTCATGAATGAGTTCACATGCTTTTTCAACTAGAGACCAGCTTTGTCATCTGAGGCAAATATACATGGTTGGTATTGTTAACCTGACTTATATATATTTCTTTAAATATATATTTTTAAATGGGAACAGCTATTACCTTTGTTGTCTGCTTCAGCTTTAACTGCTAGTTAGGAAGGATGGAGGAGTTGATGAACATAGATAATGGAGGAGGAAAAGAAAGGGTCTTTTCTTCCACTGCATTCATTTGTTCAAAAGCCATTCAGAAAGAAAAATGTCTTCCATCTTCCCGCAGCACATAGCAGGTCAGGTGCCTGGAGAGCCTATCATACTCTCATAGCTATTTCCTCTGAGGAAATGATAAATTAAAAAAATATAAATATATACACTCATATATTTATTTATTTTTAAACCACAACTGAAATTAAATTCTTTACCACTGGGTAGAATTAAATCTGATAAGAAACCCTGGGAGTTTTTATTAGTACCATTACTTTTTTCTTTGGTTCCATGTAGTATATTGGTAAAATGACAAAAGACAAAAAAAAAAAAAAAAGTAAAACAAGGAAAAAATTGTAAAAAGGCAAATATTTTGTACAAAAATACAAAGTTTTAAAAGCTCTTTAAGTGTATTTCATATTATTACTAAGAGTTGGCCTATAAATCTGTATGTCTGCATATTTTTCCTACATTTGGGGTTTTAGAAATGTAACGTACTGTTCACACAGTATGTTTTAAGTTCTTCCTAAAGCTCACCAACCAATGACAGTCTTTCTATGATTGGAGCATTCCATACTTTGGAAGATAGGATTTGCATAATTGTATGGTTACTGGCTGAGAAAATCCGTGTGACTCAGTCCATTTGCATTCTGGAAATCAATATATTGTACTGAGGGAACATTTTAGTTCTAAAGTCCTTGAGTAAAGAAGGGTGATGGTAAGGAACACTAGCTGTCAGTTTTTTCAGTAATTGGTTATCAGTGCTATTTTTCCATCTGGTGAGAAGGTAATGCAATCAGAAAGAAGGGTCCTTTGCCTTTGAGAACCATCCGAAAACTTGCTCATGTTACTGCACCACAGTCCATTATAATGCAGATGACGGTACTAAAAGAGGGTAAAAAGAATGAGCGTTAGTTTCTCTTAAAGAATAATGTTAATATACTCTTCAAAAAATGAGCATGTATTTTTATGGGAAAGATTCCAAAATACATCATTCAGTTACATTAATTTTTCCAAAGAAATGGCTAGAAGTTCTTATTCAGATTAAGTAAAAGGTGGTAAATTTCATTTTGGAGGAGGAGCCTATCCTGGGGAAGTCTAGTTCCCAACTCAAATCCCAAATGGCAACAAATGACAAATCTGGGTCACTTCTCATTTCCTACTGTAATTTCTTTTTTCTTTTTATTGAGATGTAATTGACATAGAAGTTGATATTAGTTTCAGGTATACAGCATAATGATTTGATATTCACATATATCACCACAGTAAGTCTAGTTAACACTTGTTACCATACATAGTTACAAAAAATTTTTTTCTTGTGATGAAGACTTTAAAGATTTACTCTCTCAGTAACTTTCAAATATGCAATAGAGTACTAACTATAGTCACCATGCTGTACATTACATCCTAATGACTTACTTATTTTAAACTGGAAGTCTGTACTTTTTGACTCCTGTCACCCATTTTGCTCACCTTTATCTGCTGTCTTGGCAATCACCAATTTATTTTATGTATCTATGAGCATAGTTTGTTTATTTAGATTATTAAATAGTATGATATTTATTTTTTTCTGACTTATTTAACTTAGCATAATGCCCTCAAGACCCATCCATGTTGTCACAAATGGCAGGATTTCATTATTTTTTTATGCATGAATAATATTCCAATGTATATATAACACATTTTCTTTATCTGCTCATCCATTGATGGATATACTTAGGTTTTTTCCATATATTGGCTATTGTTAATAATACTGCAGTGAACACGGGGGTACCCAAAGCTTTTTGAATTTAGTGATTTTGTTTTCTTTCGATAAATACACAGAAGTGGAATTGCTAGGTCATATGGTAATTCTATTTGTAATTTATTTATTTATTTATTTATTTATTAAGGTATCATTGATGTGCAATCTTATGCTCAGTTTTCACATGAGCAACATAGTGGTTACTACATTCCCCCTATTATCAAGTCCCCATCACATACCCCATTACAGTCACTGTCCATCACCATAGTAAGATGCTATAGAGTCACTACTTGTCTTCTCTGTGCTATACTGCCTTCCCTGTGCTCCCTGCCATGTGTGCTAATCATAGTGTCCCTTATTCCCCTTACCCCTCACCAGTCCCTTTCCCTTTGGTAACTGTTAGTCTATTCTTGGGTTCTGTGATTCTGCTGCTGTTTTGTTCCTTCAGTTTTTGCTTTGGTGTTATGCTCCACAGATGAGTGAAATCATATGGTACTTCTCTTTCTCTGCCTGGCTTATTTCACTGAGCAAAATATTTTCTAGCTCCATCCATGTTGTTGTAAATGGTAGGGTTTGTTTTCTTCTTATGGCTGAATAGTATTCCATTGTGTATATGTACCACCTCTTCTTTATCTATTCACCTACTGATGGACACTTAGGTTCCTTCCATTTCTTGGCTATTGTAAATAGTGCTGCGATAAACATAGGGGTGCATATGTCTTTTTGAATCTGTGATCCTGTTTCCTTAGGGTAAATTCCTAGGAGTGGAATTCCTGGGTCAAATGGTATTTCTATTTTGAGCTTTTTGAGGGACCTCCATACTGCTTTCCATGATGGTTGAACTAAATTACATTTCCACCAGCAGTGTAGGAGGGTTCCCCTTTCTCCACATCCTCTCCAGCATTTGTTGTTGTCTGTCTTTTGGATATTGGCCATCCTAACTGGTGTGAGGTGACATCTCCTGTGGTTTTAATTTTCATTTCTCTGATGATTAGCGATGTGGACCATCTTTTCATGTGCCTGTTGGCCATCTGAATTTCTTCTTTGGAGAATTGTCTGTTCAGATCCTCTGCCCAATTTTTAATTGGGTTATTTGCTTTTTGGTTTTTGAGGTGCGGGAGCCCTTCATATATTTTGGATGTCAACCCCTTATCAAATATGTCACTTATGAATATATTCTCCCATAATGTAGGATGCCTTTTTGTTCTACTGATGGTGTCCTTTGCTGTACAGAAGCTTTTTAGTTTAATGTAGTCCCACTTGTTCATTTTTGCTTTTGTTTCTTTGGCCCGAGGAGATATGTTCATGAAAAAGTTGCTCATCTTTATATTCAAGAGAGTTTTGCCTATGTTTTCTTCTAAGAGTTTTATGGTTTCATGACTTACATTCAGGACTTTGATCTACTTTGAGTTTACTTCTTTGTATGGGGTTAGAGAGTAATCTAGTTTCATTCTCTTACATGTAGCTGTCCAGTTTTGCCAACACCAGCTGTTGAAGAGGCTGTCATTTCCCCACTGTATATCCATGGCTCCTTTATCATATATTAATTGACTATATATGCTTGGTTTAATATCTGGATTCTCTATTCTGTTCCACTGGTGTATGGATCTGTTCTTGTGCCAGTACCAAATTGTCTTGATTACTGTGGCTTTGTAGTAGAGCTTGAAATCAGGGAGCTTAATCCCTGCTTTATTTTTCCTTCTCAGGACTGATTTGGCTATTTGAGATCTTTTGTGGTTCCATATTAATTTTACAACTATTTGTTCCAGTTTGTTGAAGAATGCTGTTGGTATTTTCATAGGGATTGCACTGAATCTGTAGATTGCTTTAGGAAGGATGGCCATTTTGACAATATTAATTCCTCCTACCCAAGAGCATGGGAGGAATTTCCATTTATTAGTGTCCTCTTTAATTTCTCTCAAGACTATCTTGTAGTTTTCAGGGTATAGGTCTTTCACTTCCTTGGTTAGGTTTATTCCTAGGTATTTTATTCTTTTTGATGCAATTGTGAATGGAATTGTTCTCCTGATTTCTCTTTCTGCTAGTTCATCATTAGTGTATAGGAATGCAACAGATTTCTGTGTATTCATTTTGTATCCTGCAACTTTGCTGAATTCAGCTATTAGTTCTAGTAGTTTTGGAGTGGATTCTTTAGGATTTTTAGGTACAATATCAAGTGATCTGCAAACAGTGACAGTTTAACTTGTTCCTTGTTGGTCTGGATGCCTTTTATTTCTTTGTTGTCTGATTGCCATGGCCAGGACCTCCAGTACACTCTTGAATATAAGTGGGGAGAGTGGGCATCCTTGTCTTGTTCCCAACATTAGGACAAAAGCTTTCAGCTATTCACTGTTAAGTATGATGTTGGGTATAGGTTTGTCATATATGGCCTTTATTATGTTGAGGGACTTGCCCTCTATATTCATTTTCTTAAGAGTTTTAATCATGAATGGGTGTTGAATTTTGTCAAATGCTTTTTCAGCAACTATGGAGATGATCATGTGATTTTTGTTCTTTTTATTGATGTAGTGGATCATGTTGATGGATTTTTGAATGTTGTATTATCCTTGCACCTCTGGGATGAATTCCACTTGATTACAATGGATGAGCTTTTTTATGTATTTTTGAATTCAGTTTGCTAATATTTTGTTGAGAATTTTTGCATCTATATTCATCAGGAATATTGGTTTGTAGTATTTTTGGAAAGCTTTGAGGAGAAGGGATATTATGTCTTCTCTCAATGTCTGTTAAAACTCAGTGCCGAAGGCATCTGGTCCAGGGGTTTTGTTCTTGGGCAATTTTTTTATTACTGATTCAATTTCATTGCTGGTAATTGGTCTGTTTGGATTTTCTGTTTCTTCCTGGGTCAGTCTTAGAAGGTTGTATTTTCCTAGAAAGTTGTCCATATCTTCTAGGTTATCCAGTTTATATAATTTTTCATAGTATTCTCTAATAATTCTTTGTATTTTGATGGTGTCTATAGTGATTTTTCCTTTCTCATTTCTGATTCTGTTTATATATGTAGATTCTCTTTTTTTCTAGGTAAGTCTGGGTAGGGGTTTATCTATTTTGTTTATTTTCTTAAAGAATCAGTTCTTGGTTTTATTATTTCTTTCCATGTTTTATTATTCTCAATTTTATTTATTTATTATCTGATCTTTATTATGTTCCTCCTACTGACTTTGGGCCTCATTTTTTCTTCTTTTTCCAGTTTCAATAATTGTGAATTTAGACTGTTCATTTGGGATTGTTCTTCCTTCTTTAATAGGCCTGAATTGCTATATACTTTCTTCTTAGAACTGCTTTCACTGTGTCCCACAGAAGTTGGGGCGTTGTGCTATTGTTTTCATTTGTCTCCATATATTGCTTGATCTCTGTTTTAATTTGGTCATTGACCCATTGATTATTTAGGAGCATATTGTTAAGCCTCCATGTGTTTGTGAGCCTTTTTGTTTTCTTTGTACAATTTATTTCTAGTCTTATACCTTTGTGATCTGAGAAGTTGGTTGGTACAATTTCAATATTTTTTAATTTACTGAGGCCCTTTTTGTGGCCTAGTATGTGATCTATTCTGGAAAATGTTCCATGTGCACTTGAGAAGAATGTGTATCCTGTTGCTTTTGGGTGGAGTGTTCTACAGATGTCTGTTAGGTCCATCTGTTCTAATGTGTTTTTCAGTGCCTCTTCAGTGTCCTTACTTATTTTCTGTCTGGTTGATCTGTCCTTTGGAATGAGTGGTGTGTTGCAGTCTCCTAAAATGAATGTATTGGATTGTATTTCTCCCTTTAATTCTGTTAGTATTTGCTGTACATATTCAGGTGCTTCTATGTTGGGTACATAGATATTTATAATGGTGATATATTCTTGTTGAACTGACCCCCTTATCATTTTATAATGTCCTTCTTTGTCTCTTGTTACTTTCTTTGTTTTGAAGTCTATTTTATCTGATACAAATATTGCAACTCCTGCTTTTTTCTCCCTACTGTTTGCATGAAATATCTTTTTCCATCCCTTCACTTTTAGTCTGTGTATGTCTTTGGGTTTGAAGTGAGTCCTGTGTAGGCAGCATATAGATGGGTCTTGCATTTTTATCCATTCAGTGACTCTAGGTCTTTTGATTGGTGTATTCAGTCCATTTACT